AATTTGGCAGCTGATGCTGTGCCGCACTGAACGTTCTAATCGTATCAAATATAAAAAAAATATTATTCAGCCATTTTTGGTCTTTTGGAAGCTGCATTCAAAATCCACTTTGCTTAAAATCTTGAGGGGGCACGGTTGAAATCGCGTTCTTGGAGGAGCAGTATTTCGGCTGGGCCCCCCTCTGGTCTAGTGCCCTGGGCAGGGCAGCTTTCAAATACTTTACGCCCGTGCGTTACTCCGTCCCTGGCTGTCTACAGTGTGTGAAACGTGGTTTGCGAGTGGTAGTGATAGTAGGGATCTGGAAACACATAGTAAGAATTGGTTATAAAAACTGAAACAGAAGTGAAACAAGTAGTAGGAAAAAGGATGAATCAAAAGTGATACTTATATCCCTTGCCGCTGTCCCTGCCCGGTGGAGTCGCACGGTAGAGTCAATGGTCTTCACACGAGGAGGGCTTAACAGGAGGGCTGCCGTGACCGCTGCCGTGGTATTCTAATGATCTGCTTTTAACTTCCGCTGATTGACTGCTTCTTTCAAAGAGTATTTCTTTAAACTGTCTTTTGCTAGCGCTTGAACACACTTTACTGTTTATCACAACAAAGGTCTAAGCAAGCGCACGACACTGACAAGTTATGCGATAGAACAATATTTGACCGAATGGGTAAAAATGACAGTTATTTTCGTCATGGCATGTTAGCTCTAGCATTCTGCCTGCTTCAAATTAAATTAAATTAAAATTATGCATTTAGCAGACACTTTTATCCAAAGCGACTTACAGTGCATTCAGGCTATAATTTTTTTTTTATCAGTATGTGTGTTCCCTGGGAATTGAACCCACAACCTTTGCACTGCTAACACAATGCTCTACCACTGAGCCACAGGAACGTTAGACACAAAGATGAAATAGTGCTTTTATTTGAATTAATTATAGCATGTATTTCAATTAATTATAGATCGAGAAAGAGAGAGAGAGAGAGAGAGAGAGAGAGAGAGAGAGATGACAGTTGTATGTACCTGTGTGCTGCGTCTGCGTGTCTCTCTCTGTAAATAATTACTTCAAAAACAGCCATTTTACCATCGTTGCTGAGGAATATAATGTAGCGACCTAGTTAGTATAGGGTGACCATACGTCCTCTTTTTCCCGGACATGTCCTTTCTGGACCTTCGGGATTCGGCTTTTGCTTTCTACAGTCGCCATTCATAGTGTGCATTTTTGTATTAGAGCCCTGAAGAAGACTGTGTCCAGTCCCACCCACTCCCGCAAACATTCTAATATTGCATATAATTTTCACGCATAAGGGGGCCGCTATCAATATGCGGAGAATATAATCTGTTTTGAATGAGCGCGCACTGTTCACTTTCGATTTCGTGATCACACACGCTCTGTGTAAAGGAAGATCAGATATTTGTCAATGAGCTCAGGATCTGTTGAGCAGCAAATACTCCAGCATGGTCTTGGCAGTCATTTCTCGTTATTCTTGACCTGAGGTCAGTCAAATCTGACTCCTCCAGCTTTTGTTGGATGCAGGGTTGCCAAGTCCGCGTTTTTTCCACAGAATTGGGCTACTTTTAAACTGTTGCCATGGGTTGATTTTCCCAAGTGGGTTAAAAGTTTGAAATATTGCATAAATTACATTTGACTGAAATGCTTGTATTAAAACATTTTACATTCTACCTATGATAAAACTTTCATGGACTTCTACATTAACTGTTCCCTCCTGGTGGAATGACCTGCCCAGCTCAATCCAAGCAGCTGAGTCCTTAATTTTTCACGCATAAGGGGGCCGCTATCAATATGCGGAGAATATAATCTGTTTTGAATGAGCGCGCACTGTTCACTTTCGATTTCGTGATCACACACGCTCTGTGTAAAGGAAGATCAGATATTTGTCAATGAGCTCAGGATCTGTTGAGCAGCAAATCCTCCAGCATGGTCTGTCAGCCATCTCTCCTCTTAACCCGTGATCAGTCAAATCTGACTCCTGCAGCTTGTGTTGGATGCAGGGTTGTCAAGTCCGCGGTTGTTTTAGATGGAATTGGGCTACTTTTAAACTGTTGCCATGTTTAGCTGTTGCCATTGTTAGCTGTGTTTTTGATAAATATGCATAACAGTGACTGTAATATATGTATATTTGGTATGGAAATGACATAGTTTTGATATTTGAGATTGCGCTACTTTGGGCGCTTTCGGCATTACTTTAACCACCAACCAAGCACACCCCAACCCCCCACCCGCACCCACTCTCCTCTTTTTGGAAAACTAAAATATAGTCACCCTAATCTAGTATCTAGACTATTTTATTAATAAAAATCGTGGGGGAGAGTTGACAACAAGTATATATATATATATGTAGTAAATCAGCTCAAAAGGGAAATATTTATTACTAATTATAACTGGTTATGAGTAATAATAAATATTTAGATTAGATCTTAGAATTAACTGTAGCAGAATCAATATTACAATTATTTGATCTGTCCATCCACCGAGCAGACAATATAATAATTTATCAATTCAAGGAAAGATTATTTTCCTGGCCAAGAAAGAATAACTTTCCTGCACACAGTACTAGCATTAACTTAGCATGTAGCAAGGGATCAAACATTCAGTGACTTCGAATTGTGAGCAGCACACAGAGACAATCAATTGTGAATATAAGGGATTTAATAAATGAAACTATATCTAATATATAACTAACTAAGCAAAACACATATATACAGAATGAAGCAAAGTAAGGAAAAGCGAGAGAAGAGCAAACGAATGGCAGTATTTCACATCAATTAACCACAACCTAATGAGAATCATCAAAGAATCAAAAATCACCTTAAAAGGGGTTCAAGCTTACACACGCATCTAAATAGTTGTAAACGTTACTTGCTTTGACTTCGTTGCTGAAACAAGAGTCCTGATGCGGTAGACACGGAGGTTCTTGATGAGTTCTTTAGGAGTGAGCTAGAGGTTTTCCTCTGGTTCTTCTGAAGATAGGAAAGTCCACAGCGAATCGAAGTTACTTGAAGATAAAAAACTGCCGGAAAATCAAACTCAAGAGGAGAGTCTTGAGGAGTCTTGGATAGTGTCGTCTCAAAAGAAGAGGTTTTCTGAGCAAAGATCAGTGCGAGCAAATGACTTTTGAGAGTTCCTATCCACACCCACCTTTTGGGTGGAATAGCCAATACCAGGCGTGAATTTTTCAGCGGGAGAAGTTCTCTTTGTCTCCCTTTATGGTCCATTTGCATGTTTATGGCCGGTCTGGAGGATTGGTGCAGTTTTACCCAAAATATGGTACAAATAGTATGATGCATTTCACGATCACATAGTGTACATCATTGTTTGAGGAATAAAGAGCAGATCATTTTGATACCAAGAAAGAAACATTTAGAATATATTAAACCAGAGTAGCATGTAGCAAGGGATCAAACATTCAGTGACTTCGAATTGTGAGCAGCACACAGAGACAATCAATTGTGAATATAAGGGATTTAATAAATTAAACTATATCTAACATATAACTAACTAAGCAAAACACATATATACAGAATGAAGCAAAGTAAGGAAAAGAGAGAGGAGAGTAAAAGAATGGCAGTATTTCACATCAATTAACCACAACCTAATGAGAATCATCAAAGAATCAAAAATCACCTTAAAAGGGGTTCAAGCTTACACACGCATCTAAATAGTTGTAAACGTTACTTGCTTTGACTTCGTTGCTGAAACAAGAGTCCTGATGCGGTAGACACGGAGGTTCTTGATGAGTTCTTTAGGAGTGAGCTAGAGGTTTTCCTCTGGTTCTTCTGAAGATAGGAAAGTCCACAGCGAATCGAAGTTACTTGAAGATAAAAAACTGCCGGAAAATCAAACTCAAGAGGAGAGTCTTGAGGAGTCTTGGATAGTGTCGTCTCAAAAGAAGAGGTTTTCTGAGCAAAGATCAGTGCGAGCAAATGACTTTTGAGAGTTCCTATCCACACCCACCTTTTGGGTGGAATAGCCAATACCAGGCGTGAATTTTTGAGCGGGAGAAGTTTTCTTTTGTCTCCCTTTATGGCCCATGTGCATGTTTATGGCCGGTATGGAGGATTGGTGCAGTTTTACCCAAAATATGGTACAAATAGTATGATGCATTTCACGATCACATAGTGTACATCATTGTTTGAGGAATAAAGAGCAGATCATAATGATACCAAGAAAGAAACATTTAGAATATATTAAACCAGAGATACATTCATACACCTGAATATCAGCGTTTAGGGCTTAACTAATACAAATAAAGAGTGGTAACTCAGCTAATCTAATAGGGAAACATACAAACAACACATGCATATACCAGATACAATTGTAACTGATTAATTATTGTCTATATGTGTGTGTGTTGTGTATTGTGTGTATGGTGTTGTTTTGCAGGTCAGCCAGGCCCATTGGCGCCTGGCACCGGGGGTCATTTACTTCTCTTTGGAAACTGTTTGAAGTCAGATGGGGAGATGATAGTGGTAGACTGCTTAGCATCTCCTTGATAGTGGGGGAACCATTTGACAATTTAGCACCCATATAAATGTAGAAACTGTGGCCAGGACTGTAATTTATATGCAAATGTCAAAGGAAAAAAGGGGTCTCTTAAGCCATAAAACCCAAACGATCGTACATGATCCTACGCAGATATATATATATATATATAAGAGCTCATATTAAAGAGCTGACTTTAAAGTCAAGGACATAAACTGTGCATATTTTAAATACTTCAGGAAATGATTCTTGTCTTTTATTCCATGTCTTAATTAAATTGAAAATATCCTGGAAAAGTCCTCAAAGTCCTGGAAAATGATCACTGAAAAAGAGTGGGAGCTTTTCTGAATTTTGATTGGTGTTAAATATTTTGAAGTTGTAAGTCATCCACTTCAGTACTCGATTACTTGTGTATATGTGTTTATAAAAGATTGTAATATGCTTGTGTATGTGCATGACATTCAGCTATAAAGTATATTTATTTCTGTGTATTTCTCATTACAGGAGCATGGTATTCCAGTAGATCTGGGATATGCCGTGGCCCCTCATCATTCTGGTGTATATCCAGTCCATATTCAGCTGTATGAGGCTTGGAAGAAAGCATGGGGGATACGAGTGACCAGTACTGAGGAATACCCACACCTCAAACCTGCACGCCACCGCAAGGGATTCATTCATAATGACATCATGGTACGGCTCAACATATAGAGGACACATCATTGCACCACACAGAAATCTTGCGTATGCGTAGGACAAAAAAAGTTAATCATCGTTTTTTTGATGTGGAATAAAATTAATTTTCCCTGGGATCAAAATTGCAGGAAACAATCACACACTCGAAAGGTTAATATCACAGAATATTAATATTGGAAAGTGTAATAGTTTAATTTTTGATTTCATCCACAGGCAGTGTCGTACAAGATCCTTCCTCAAATCCTGATTAAAAATGTAGCATGTTATAATATTTTGATCTAGCTAACTAAAAGAACTTTTCTTAACCCATTAGTGCTATGCTTGGAAGCTAAGCTGTCAATAACAAACTTACTTAACATGCATAACATCGGTGATTATGGACAAGACCCAACTCGTGCTTTGCAGGAGGCTGTATAGATTTGCAATCTGCCAGTGGTTGCTACACAGGTAGTGTTGTGAAAAAGCAGTGAGACTTGCCTGCAAGAGACTGCCAAAATACAAGCAACAGCTAGCATAGCAAATCAATGAAACACACATACACTCCAAAAGAATTAATGATGACACACTGGGACTCAGATGAAATACCCCATAGTGCATTCACCACAGCCAAATCTATTAGTGGTACACACACACAGATTTTGACTAGATGTTCCCAACTGCAGCTTTGAATCAATTTTTTAAATAGCTTTCGCTGTCTCTGTCCCTCATTTCTGGTTAAAGGCTCTATGGTTATCTGAAGATTTCATTTAAAGGGATAGCTCACCCTGAAATGAAAGTTCTGACATCATTTACTCAACTTTATGTAATGTTTAAACTCAGATGACTTTCTTTCTTCTGTGGAACACAAACGGAAGTGTTAAGCAGAATGTTGGGGACTCTTTTTTTTTGCCATTCTGAGTAATATCTCCTTTTTGTGTACCACTAAAGAAATAAGGTCATAAAGGTTTGGAACAACATGAGGGACGGTAAAGATTTTTTTCTTTGGTACAATAATGTTTTTAATTATTTTTATTATTATTTATGTTTTTTCAAGTTCCTTTAATCAAGATAAATGTAGATGTAGGGCCTTTAATTTTGTAATAATACTTAATAATATATAACGATGTCTTGAAGTAATTTTATTTCTTACCCAATGGACCTTTATCACAGCGGAATTGATTACCGGAAGTGCCCATCGAAGCAGTGTATCGATTCTTCCGGTTATGTATATTTTTCAATATGCTGTAATCACCTAGTTGAATAAAAGCCTGTTAAAATGAGCATCTGCAGGATGATTTCAAAATCCGCACATTTTTAAGAGACAAGCGAAGAGATATTCTGATGATTACTGTGTACAGAATTGTCCAAACTCAGTGGAACTCGGTTACCGACATAACCTCGGTTCCCTGAGATACGGGAACGAGTACTGCGTCTTGTTAGACGCATATGGGAAAAAAGCCTTTTTTCTCCTGAACTGAAGCCTTTTCATTCACGCAGTGAAACTGCATGGCCATTGGTTCGTGCAGTGTATTAAAAAACGAACCAATGGCTAGGAAGCGGGGCTGCACGAGCCTATGGCGACGAAGCCTGCCAAAGCCCGCCAGAATGGGCGGGGCATCTGGCTATATAAGCGGGCATTCGCCACAGGATTCTCAGGTTACTTTGACTGAAGCGACGACTGAGTCGTGCAGCTACATAGCACGGCTAGCAACGCAGTACTCGTTCCTGTATCTCAGGGAACCGAGGTTATGTTAGTAACCGAGTACGTTCCCTTTTGATACTACACTCGTGCTGTGTCTTGCTAGACGCATATGGGAACACAGTACAATCACGCTGTGCTAATGTAGTGGAACGACTAAAAGTATCAAACTTCCATAAGCAACCAATGCCCATAGAGAAGTTAACAACAACCCAAGGCTAAGACGGGCTGAGCTTCCTGAGTTCACACCCAGCCTGGTTAATCGTTCCAGAGTACTCCTGTAACTTCGACACCCAGGGGTCGAGAGCTAACAAGTGAACTAATGCCAGAGAGCTTGAGCGTGATACGGCCAAGGGCTCTCTGCCAGATCTGTTTACGCAGCGCATGTCACTTCAAGCGGAAAGTGACTAAAAGTATCAAACTTCCATAAGCAACCAATGCCCATAGAGTAGTTAACAACAACCCAAGGCTAAGACGGGCTGAGCTTCCTGAGTTCACACCCAGCCTGGTTAATCGTTCCAGAGTACTCCTGTAACTTCGACACCCAGGGGTCGAGAGCTAACAGGTGAATGAACATACAGTTAAATGAAGGGAAACAAGGTATTTCACAGAAAACTACAAGTCATGAGTGATCTTTTGTCCCTATGAACATAAAGTTCCCATATATGGATAGAATCGTGGCGCATCGGAGTAACATTTGCATAAACAGAACGCTAATCACTCGTTCGGTCTTGTAGCAGCTTAACAGAACAACATCACGTCATTAAGACATCATAACACTGATTTACATCTTGATAAAGAATGAATAATTACCCGTTAAGTAATATTCCCGATCTGAATACTACAGAACGATCGTTACAGGACATGTCTGGGCATGTTCATATGGTACAAACGCCTATAACACTGTAGCGATCACTGTAAACACAAATATAAATAAAATAGGCTTACTTTGTGGTCAGTGACTACCACCTTGATATTAAATCTGCAAAAATCCCCACGAACAAAGTGAAAGTATCATCCTTGCAGCTGACGGCTCGGACAGATCACTCAAACACAGCAAACAGCGGCAGCTCATCAAACTACACTGCCCTCTACCGAAGTACTATTACGACTCCAGTTTCATAATAAAGGTCCCTCTTACAGGAGAGCAAGGTATTGGAGAGGTCTTCCCTTTGTGAGGTCATCAGCAGGGTTGTCCGCAGAACTTACATGATGCCAGGAACACTTCTCCGTCAGCTCCTGGATCTCAGCGATTCTGTTCCCCACAAAGACTCGGTAACGACAGGACTCAGAATTCAACCACTGGAGGACCGTAGTAGAGTCTGTCCACAGGGAAATAGACTTGATTGGTAGGGTTAACTCATTTTCAAGTAACTTAGACAACTGTGCTGCAACTAGACTACCACAGAGTTCCAGTCTTGGAATGGAGTGAGCTCGTTTAGGAGTGACACGGGAGCGTGCTATAATGAAGGACAGGTAGGTCTGACCATCCTGGTCAGTAGTCCGCAGGTAGGCCACCGCTCCATATGCCTGCTCCGAGGCATCCAAGAAGATATGTCCTTCATGGGTAACTCCATCCATCCCAACTTCAGAAGGGACATAAGACCGGCGAAAGGAGATACAAGGAAGGTATAGGAGTTCTTCCTCCCATGCATTCCAGGACTGGAGGAGCTCAGGTGGTAGGTTGGGGTCATCCCACCCTCTCTGCTTGTTCCACAGCTGCTTAATGATGATTTTTGCCCAAGTGGAATAAGGTAGAAGCCATCCCAGGGGGTCGTACTGGGTGGCTAGGACCTTATAGATGTTCCTCAAAGTTGGAGTCTTATAAATCACAGGTCGTTGCTTGTAGGACAAAGTGTCCGTCTGCCAGTTCCAGCTCAGACCCAGCGTCAATTCAGGGATGTCCGACTTCTCCTGTGTCAACCACAGCTCCACACTTGCAGCACGGGCGTGGGCAGGTAGGTGACTCAGCACAGTAGGATCATTGCAGGCCCATTGGCGAATTTCGAATCCAGCTCCGGAAAGGATATTTCGTAGTCGATCAATCAAGTTCCGAGCTTCATCTGCAGTAGGCAGGCTCTGCAGGCAGTTATCGACATAGAAACACCTCTCCACTGAAAACCGGATTGCCTCATCCGTTAGGGGGTGTTGCCGCACGTGACGCTGTAGTGCATAGGTAGCACAACACGGACTGGAGGTTGTGCCGAAGGGTAATACCTGCCACTCAAGAATTCTGGGTGCCTCATCCATCTTCAGGTCCCGCCAAAGGAAACGGAGTAGAGGACGGTCCTCAGGTATAAGGCGAACCTGATGGAACATCGCCTTAATATCCCCACTTACTGCCACAGGATGTTCTCTGAAACGGATAAGGACACCCAACAGTGAGGCCCCGAGGGTGGGTCCTGGCAGCAGGTACTGATTAAGGTTTTGTCCCTGATACTGATAGGAGCAGTTAAAGACAAGGCGGAACTTCCCATTGTGACTCACGAGATGGTGGGGGATGTACCAGCATTCATGTGAATCAGGTATAGGATCAGACACCTTCCTAACAGCTCCTGTCTCAATGAGTTTCCTCATCTCCTCTTTGTAGACCTCAGCTTTTACAGGCTCCTTCAGCAGACGCCTCTCCACACTGCGAAGGGTAGGTAGGACTGATTCTTTAGGTGCATTCAACGAAGGCATGTCCTTTCGCCAATACAACCCTGGCCTGCAAGGCCAGGACTTCCAGGTTATAAAACCTTGCGAATGTGGACGGCGAGTCGCAGCCGGCCGCCTCACAAATATCCACAATGGACACACCACTGGACCCATGTTGTCCAATTGGAGTAGCACATGGTGCCCCTTTAGGAACTGTAGCACTGTACCCAACTGTAGCGCTGGCGATGCCGCCGTCATGAGGCCCAGCATCCTTTGAAACGCTTTGAGAGGGCGAGTGGTACCAATCTCGAAGGAGGTTGCCAGCCTCCGCATGGCCAGAGCCCGTTCCGGCGTGACTACAGCTCTCATTTGGGCTGAGTCGAAAATTGTTCCCAGGAACAATATTCGCTAGCTGGGGAACATTCTCAGAGCTCTGATGGGGCAGAGCAGAGATAGCTCTATGTCCTCTTCAGTTTGAGGAAGCGCGGAGAGTGTAATGACCTGTGCTCTGAACAGAGTGGAGAGCATCTTAGGTACGTAACCGTGCCTTGGTTTCAGGACGACTTCTCCAGGTGGCTGAGGAGGAGGGTCCTGTGTGATTTTAATAATTGGGTAATTATGAATGCGGATTCCCATCTGTCTCAGAGGGGAGAGAGCCGTGTCCATGCACTTCGTAAAAGTG